AAAAAGCAAGATCAGTCAAATTTGAGTTTCTTCCCCTTCCCTTATATATAAAATATTGTTTCTGCATCAAGATGTCAAAAAATGTAGGCATTCCACTTTCTACAAGTGAAAAAAATTGTCGAGGTCCAAAAGGCAGAAACTGTGTGTAATTGTTGAAATTGGATCCTGCAGATGAAAGTTTAACAAGAGTTAAGTCAACCCCGTGATGATACGGGCTTGTTTCCATGGCAATCTGAATCTTTTTGTGATGCTACTATAGATGCAGAGGTTTCTACTGGACAACTTGTCTTGTCTGGGAACTGATCATAAAAAGATGATTTGAATACTTCCCTTCCTCAAGATACTATCCTAACTTCCCAAGGAAGCCGTTTTTTATTATATTATTAACAAATGTAATAATGTGACTCAGAAAGACGCTCCAAGTTAAACCACACAAGCTCATAATAAAGGTAATAAAACTGTCTCGTCCTAATGGGAGGGAGTGGATAAATAGTAGCTCTTAAAGGGCCGGCAGACAGCTTAGCATTAAAAATGAAAGCGCTAATCATTTTTTGTTTCTTTACCCAAGCCTCTGTCATGTGACCTGAAATAACTTGCTAACAATTTCCTCAAGATGTGGACATTTGATCGCTGAAACCCGGCACCAGTGGTCTCATTGTTATGTTGGGATTAGACTCCGGCTACAGACATACCATAATTTCTCCTACATGTGTCTGTCTGGTATGTGGCATAGCAGACCAACTGGTGTGGTTGCCCCGGTAACATGTTAAGTCAGTGGGCTGTGAATGGTGGGTCCGGTCCACATCAACACAAACACACGCACACAGAAGAACACTGCTGGCCTTTCCGGACTCCAGCGTAGGAACACTATAACGTCCCTCCATCCCACTGGGTCGGGTATTCTGAACGCTGTTCGACTTTTCTAAACCTCGCACGAGAGGGAGAGTGGAGGACAGATTAGGCAGGGATTTGGTTTTGTGTGAGAGTAAACAGAAGTCAGGGGAGACAATGAACAACAAGTCCATTCAACAGAAAGGACTCTCTCTGCCTTCAAGGGTGAGCTCTAAGTCCAGGCAGGAAACAGCTGTGGATAAAAAAGATCGGCCGCGACTTTTGCTCTTTGGCTGCCGGGCAACAAAAGAAGCAGCAGATGAAGAGCTGTGTGTAGAATGAGGTTGACTGGTACAACAGCTCTGAAGCTCAAATACCTTACACCCAGTTACTGTGTGAGGACCAATCATTTCTTTTGGACAAATTTGGATCAAGTGAATAACCATTAAATAACAATGGAAATCTGTTTATGAAGTCAACGATATGGTAACGACAAAAACAGAGGTGATAATCACCTGTTCCTCAAAGAACTCTGCATCGTGTTTAATTACCTTCACTTTAATAAGGACCATAAACACATAACAAGTTAAAAATAATAATAAAAATGGTCACAATCTCTGGCTTGTACCGATTTGTACCAGACAACAGACAAAATGTGACATTACTGCAGTGTCTTTCGACCCCACTACAGAGAGGTTATTAATATTTTTAGTTTCTAATCGGGTCACAATCTCTGGCTTGTACCGATTTAGCATAACAGACAAAATGTGACATTACTGCAGGGGTTTTTAATATTTTTACAGTTTCAAATCAACCTAACAAATGCAAAATGTATGTATGTTTTGTTTTTAGTTTGTTTGGTTGAAAGCCTTAAAGTAAAAAAAAAAATCTTCAATTATAATTTTTCGCGCTCTTTCGTAGCCTGTCATGACACGCAATCCTCTTTCCATCATGTTTGTCTGTATGTAGGTTACTGTGGTGGCTCTCTGTCTTTTTTCCCTTCAGTGTCTGACACAGTCATTATCAGCACTCTTTTCAAAACACCCACAATCACCCAGTGTCATAAAGAGCTCAGAGAAGCCCTGAGGACACCCCAGTCCAGTGGAGGAGAAGCATCTCCATCCAAGATCCAGATAATCATTTGTAAAGACACACGGCTACACGTCTGACTGAGCATGCTTCAGTGACATAACCTGAAAATTCCTCCGGGATCTGGTGTCGACCCTGTCCTATCCCTGTCTGCCTGCAACCTGGGTGAGCACTTATACTTGATCTCTGACTGATACCCTGATACCCTCTGTGTAATTAAATCAGGAGGGGGAGGCAGTGATGAGTTAAACACGGTGAGGGACGGGGAGTCAAGACTAAGTGGAAAAACAGTGAGTGGGAGGGAGAAACAGACAAAACAGAGGCAGACACGGCGAGACAGAAACAGACGGGACTCACAATATGCTAGGACAAAGCAGAGTGGGCTGGATAAACACAGGGGACCTGAGTAAACCCAGTCCAACTGAGGGCGGGTGAGGAGGCACACGATCATGAAGGGGGGGCAAAAAAGTGACCTTGGACATAGTGTGTCTAAGGGCCGTTTCTCCAGAACAACAACGTCTTTGAGAAGAGCATGATTTATCACCTGTAGAACAGGTGTTCTGAACATCCACAAAGCGAAATGTCTCCATGGAGTCTCCATGAAAGTTTTATTCATGAAATCACCGATGGTTTCACTTTGAACCACTTTTGTTATCACAGGCAAAGGCTATACAACAAAATTGCAAAAAAGAACTGTAATTTAGCTTCCCAATATTAACGCCTCTCTGACTGCTCACTCTGCACAATAGCATAGCTTACAGCTATAGAAAAGCTAAGCTATGGTATTTTGTTTTTAGTTAGCAAGAGGAGGAGCAGAACATCTAAGGTGTTCAGCAGCTCTACCCAATCTAAATGTACTGTTTCTAAGATGAATGTTTGCAAAGACACGGGTCCTGATGCCTCTGTGCCTGCGCAAACATATCTTGTTGGTCCCTCGCTTTGAAAACATTGTAAATGTAGTTAATAGCCAATAAGGGCTACATTCCAATCCTAGGTCACAGTGAAACCTACTTTAATTTTGTTTTAGAGGGTTCTAATCCCCGCCCCTGGACTGCAGACTTCCAAGTGATCGGTCAGACAACAGAGCCGAGACACTTTTACTGCCGTTGTCTCTGCTCTAATTAGTAGAACGGCTGCCACCTCGCTCTGGGCTTCAAAGAACACATAAACCAGGGAAGGGAGCAGAAGATCACATGACCCACTCCCACAGACGAGTCTGTTAAAGCCGAGTCTTTCTCCTCCATGAATAAAGGAGCCGGCCGCCTCAGGAGATCTCAGTGTCATCGCGGAGTGAGGAACGTCCCTTCTATCTTTTCTGCTAATGTCAGTCGTCCAGCAAAATGACTGGCTGCAGGGTGGACGTGTACGACACAGCACTGAAAGGATGTTCTGGCTGTTGAATTACTTCTACAGTACTGCACCTCCGGTACTTTCACTTCAACATATGAAAATCCATTACATAAAGGTGTCCTGTAGCTTCGCTCCTTTTTTATGAGTTCACATTTATTTGACTGACCCTAAAGATTAATGCTAAGTTTCCTCGGAAAATTCTCAATTATTCTGATAATAAGTGATTGAGTTTCTCAGAAGATAAAGTATCTTTTTTTTAAGTTTAAATATGAATATTTGTTTGCAAAAAAACCCTATAGTTCCAGAGCGATTTTACTAGGAATTCGATCAGAACATTTCCTTAAACACTCACTCATTCACCTCAATATACCTGTTAAACCATCCACACAGACTCACCTGGCAGCCCCGCTTCTCTATCTCATTGATGCATTTGCTTATAAGCAGCGGCACCATCTGTCCTGAGTTCTCCCTCTCCACCACCCTCCACGCTTCCAGTCCAAACACCTGCGGCTCCCTGTCTCCATCTGGCCTCCCGTCCAGAGAGTTCTGCCACTGCTCCATCAGGCTCAGTTTGACGTAGATCAGCCCCCGTGGCTCCAGCTTCACCGCCAGCTGGTGGGAACGTGTCACTCGGAAAAGAGCAGGCAGCACCACCGTGCCGTGGCAGCAGACGCGGTTGCGCCTCGGCGTGGGCTCCCAGCTGAACACCACCAGCTTCAGGTGTTGGGCGTTCTCCAGTTCTATGTTAAACGTGTGGTCCATGTCCAGGAAAGTAGTACGACACGTTAAGAGAGCGGTCCGTGCTTTGTTGACTGAGTCCACCTGAATGGCGCAGTAGACGTCTCGAGAGTCGACGCGGGGAGGTTTGAGGTCCTCTGCGCCGTAAAAGTGCAGGCTCATGAGTCCAGAGATGTACTGGCTGCATTTGGGCTGCTCTGTGAAGCTGTAATGGCGGAAGGCGTCAATGTCAAGCTCTGTGCCGCTGAGCTTGGAGCCTCCACTTCCCTCCATCTCCTTGCCTTTCGCCGCTCCCTTCCCTTCTGCAGAGCCGTGCTTCCCAGACTTGGCCACCAGCTCTGGCGAGTCTCCATCACTGAGGTAGCCTCCTTTGCTGGCCGACTTGGAGCTGCCGTCACTTTTCTTCTTACTGAAGCTGCTCTGAGTGGACACACTGCTGTCCAGGTGGTAGCGTGAGATCACATTACGACTAGCCTGTCCACCCCCAGATGGAGCCAATCTGGGAGAACCCGACGTTTGGGTTACAGTGTCCGGCCCACTGCCGGTGTTTTTGGGCGAGTGAGCCCTTGGCTCCGGTTGACTGCCTCCATTACTGCTGGGGTGTCCCTTAACGCTGAGTTTACGGCTCAGCTCCGGGAGTTTCTTCATCTTCATGGAGATCTTTCTGACGGTGCGCGGTGACTTGATCTTGTCTGGGAATGACCAGTTGATGGAGCTGCTCTTCTTAGCCGGGTTGGGGCTGGAAGGAGGGGAGAAGCCAACGGCGTTGGGCAGGTCAACACCATCTGTGGATGGAAAGAACAAAGACTGTCAAACCAGTGTGATGTGTTACGGATTCTTCCTGGCTAAGTGTTTTACTGTACCGTTCCCAGGAACAAATGTCTACAATCAGTGACTTTTCTTCTTTTGGCCAATGTAATCAATTCACATGAAATGTCAGAGGAAGACAGACGAGAAATAAAAGACTGTAAATTCAAGGGGAAAGTATGCATTAGCCGTAATTTACCGTCTCCTACGTCTTACATCCGCCCCCGCAGCCCATCATCAAGACATTAGGTTTACATGAAACACAGTCATCCACTGACAGACATACACTGACCAGGACTCGCTTCATATAAACATGTCACCATGTTATAATACACTTACAGTGTATAGATCTGAACTCTAACGCTCAGTCTAGGACTCTGCTTTTGTGGTTTAAAAAAAAAAAAAAAAAGGAAATGACAAAAATGAATTTGTTCACGCTGATGTTCCCCCGAGGCCTTTTTCATTAAAGTGGCCCTGATTCAATCAGACAACAGGGGAAATTGAAGCAGAATGTCATTAGCTGCAGCTTTGGGAAAAATCAGTGGTATAAAAGCAGGGAAAGGGCTGTATGGCAGAAACCGCTGCAGGGCTGGGGTAGAATTACTCAGTGATTATTCAAGTCAAAAAATATCTATTTGGAGTGGACCTTGAAGGCAGCTCTCACCTAACCAGATGTCTGCAAGATGAAATTTCAGGGTCTAGATGTCTACGCAGGAGTGTCGGCCTTTTGTTTAGTCTACAGCAACGGACCAGCAGCATTACTGACCTGACACGTAATCACTATATGATGCTGTTCAGCTCATTTGGCCACGTAGCAACAAAGGTTAGGGTTGTGGTGGCGTTCACCTGGCAAATGTGTTCTTGGTCTAAAACCCATTGAAATAAAGACATTAAAGCCATAGAGCTAAATGTTTTAAGAATTTTACTTAAACTTATTTACTTGAAAAAAGGCCTTTCTGATTAGGGATATCATTTACAGGAATAAATGTGAAGTACTATTTTCGCACAGGAAACCACTGTTCATCTAGTGAGACATCAACTTCATACAGTCTTTGTGGATCTTCTAATGTGTGAAACTGTTTGGTTGTGTGACTTGAAATGAAAGACAAACTTGTTCTTTCAACTAATTACATTCAATGGAAGAATTCTGTGAAACAATGCAGACGCTTCAGCAAAGACAGATAGAGACACCAAGAAGAAAGAGGAGTGGGTGAGAGCTTGACCCTGCCAACGTCGCCAACTCTATTTTCAGACGGGACCTGCTGTGCTATTCTGGGATGAGGGTCCGCAGATGAAAAAGGAGGGAGTCGGAGGATGGAGAGTAGGGAGAGCAGGGATGGGGGTGCTGGGAGGGAGGGCAGGGTGTAGCCTGCAGATGGGGGACAAAGGCAGCTCTTGTCCAGGCTCTCCGAGGTCTGGATGGGCGACTGGAAGGCTGGCAAGTTGGCTGGTGAATGTACAACTGAACACGGCTGTTCTCTCACATTCCTCACCCAGCCATGTTTAGCCTCCTTTTCCACTCGGAGCTGAATAACTTTCTCTGTGACGGCTTCCTGTCGGTAACAGACACAGCGGGGCTCTGACAAAAATGGTGGAGGCTGCTGGGCAAATTCACCAAACAGCATCTGGGCGCGAGGGCCGTACAGAGCCTGCTCCGCATCCTTTTTAAAGTCTTTGGAGTTTTTATAACGTCAACATGATTGAATGGTTATTCCACTTGATATAAGGTATTGTTTATTTACCCATTGTAAATAAACATAATTGACGTAAAGTTGTAGATTATTTGGGTCTATGTTAAATGCACAGCAATGCCCTGCTCACAGAAGCAGCAAAAATGACCATTTTTAATGCATCGGCTGCTCTTTTTATTTTGGATTTTTTTCATTTTTTTGTTTTTAATCATTATTATTTGGTACAATGAGTGAACTATTATTTACAATTACTGTGTTTTGTCACAAAAAAATCAGCTCAGTGGCTAAGAAGTACTTAAATGCATTTTATCTTAATATAAGAATTATAATTATATTCCTCGCTCTCTCACTGGCTTATATATATGAATATATGTCAAATGTTAGTACCTGGCAACTGGCACAAATACTACCAAAGAAAAAGGTACGATTTTGCACCTGGCTCAAATTATTAACATAATCATAAAGTAAAATGTTATGTTATATCACCATGACGTGTTTGGAAGAACTTCAAGAACAAAGAACAGAAAGTCCTTGAACGTCTCAATTAACACCAGAGCCCATAAAAACAGCAGGTATTTCACTGGTGAAACATACAGACCGACAATGAGTTGACAACAGTGAATCTCTTCACACATTCACCCTTAATTTCTTCATGCAGCACAAACTTGCTTTTTATAAATGTACAGTTATACAGAATTTAAATTTTCCTAATTAGAATTAGTTAAAAGATTCTAAATTAACTGTCAATCATCCATGAACGTGAATGAAATTTTGTTCTCTCTGCGTCATCCCTTGGAAATTCACCATGAACTCTAGTGATATTGACTCACCTCTGACAAAGGTAATGACTGTTGCATTGTTAATGACGCCTACACACACACACACAAGCACACACACAGCTGCATCTTGCGCAGCCTTTGGCCTTGTGGCAGCAGCCACCGCAGTAAGGCGACTCCTCACTAGCTGAGGTTCAGGGGCAATGCTTCGACACCCAACCCTCCAGGGCCATGTTCTGAGGTCAAAGTGCAAAAGGACTGCATTCCTCCGGGGTGACACCTGAGCTGGGCCGACTATGTCCACCCCCCAACACTTTAACATGCACCTTCACTCACCATATTACTGTAACACAAGAGAGAGTGCATGCAAATATGCACACATGAAGACAAACACACACAGACGTGGCCTCTCTGACCCCGTGGCCCTCCCATGACACTTCTTAACAAAGCCCAGGAATTTATGACGAGGGCTTTTCACAACGCTGGCACCAGACAGGTGCAGGACCAGGGTGTGTAATTGTTTTTGTTATCTCTCCAGACCCTTTTCTGGCATCAACACAGACCTTATCAGGATAAGTGGTCCTCCATAACTTGTCCTTCACTTCTAGGTACAGCTGCGTTGTAAATAGGAGTTAAAATGTACATGTTTTCATCACTAAATTATCACTGTGGCTAATACTGAATCACATGTGAAAATGTTACATCTCTGAATCCACAATTGTGAGTCAGGGTGTTCATATTTGTGAGGAAGCGAAAGTACGAGGGCGTACTCTGATAAGCCTTGAGGGAAGACTTACCAGATTATCGTGTGAAACCTACTTGTATTCACTCGAGTGTGCGCATGTGTGTGTGTCTCTTTAAAAGGATGTCTGCCAAGCGTGTGTGCGTGTGAGAGAGAGTGAGTGAGTGAGTGTGTGTGTTAAATGTAAAACCAGAGAGGTCCGGGGTGTGCTGACAAACAAGAGCAGTGTAAACAAATGAGTGAATGGCATACTTGTCCTGTAGTTTGGACCCGCTGTAACCAAGGCTCCGGCTCTGACTGGGGCTCCTCAAATCTAAATCACTCACTCCTGGAAACACTTCCAGGGGGACGTGCGTGTGTTGCCCCGGCCGTTTCACGACAATGGCCACAACGCTCCTGCTAATACATCCGAGCGGGCAGGCTGTGCTCACTAACACAACATGGGTCCCTGCCAAAGGGAGCCCTCATGAAGTCCTAACTCGCCTACTGCTGCAGGCATTCCAGCTCTGCTGTAACTCAACCGACACAACAGGCAACAGCGTGGCTGCTAATTCTGGTGAAGCACTCTGGCCTCGCTGCAGCAACGTGACAGTCAAGCCAACAGGAAACTGATAGGGGGAGAATGAGGTGTTGACGAATAAGTTGTTTTTATCTGCAGCCACTTATCAACACATGGGAAATGAAATGCTAATTTAATGAGCTAACCACGGCGGCCGTGCTGACGTGTGTTTGATTCCTCGAGAAAATAACTGTTACAGTTTTAGTCGCTGAAAGAAGAGGATCACTTTTCAACCAGAAGGTTGTGGGTTTGATCCCAGGCTCTGGTAGTCTACATGTTGATGTGGCTCCATGCAGGACACCTGACTTTCTGCATGAATGCCTGAGTGAACAAGGGACAAACAATACACTCTGTGAAAGAATAAACAGTTACAGTTGTGTCAATACAACTACAGGTACTGTTATCAGTACTGCATAATGTTCTGGGACTAATGTTATTACAACAAAGTTTTTGAGAAAGATTTACACCCAAAAATACATTTTTTTTTTTTACTGTTGTCATTGCGTTTAGCTCAACATTCAAACACATGGTCATCAAGTTGGCATTCGTTCAGGACCAGCGCTAACCACATGTTTACACCAGAACACATGGTCAGCTTTCTGTAGGATCAAATGCACTGACTACAGATACTGTTGTGAGTCATGACCCTCGGGTCGTGTCCCTCTCGTGGTCGCGGCATTCATGCAGATTTACAGAAAATGACCCTCTGAGGTAAAAGACCAGAGCAGTTTTCTACAGCTGCCCTGGTGATGACATGAAGAACGGACCACAGATAAAGAACTACTGTGTGATCTGAATCACAGTTCTGGTTTCCACAACGTAGCTGCCCTGCACTGCTGACTTCCTTCTGACCTAGGCGTGCGATCTGCAGGCGAGATTAGATTCCAAGTTTGAACTCAGTGGCTTGAACTCTCGTGTTACTTTAGCAGCCGAGGCCAACTCTCCAAAGCAGCAGCCAGCTACGACCAAAACAACCCCCAGAAATAGCTCTGATTCCATTTCTGAGCACCGGCCAAGTCAGATTCCCCGAGCAGGCGCTAAAGGGAACAAGAGATTGGGAACACATAAAGCCCACCCCCCTGACCCCCAAGTCCATCAATCATTATTTCCCATACAAATGGCGCATTCAGATGGACAAAAGTCAGTCAATGGGCAGCGCATGAGGAGTCTGGAGTGTATCCGGTGGAGGAAAAAGAATCAGCCGGCCGAACAGAGGGAAACCATAGCCACAAAGGATCATCTCCATCTGCAGGGCTTCATTAATTCAGCAGACACACTTATGTTCAATCGACGAAAGGCTTGTCAAATTTCTAGACTCAGATAAAATGGAGTCTGTATGAGCTCATGTTCACAATGAGTCCAACACAGAAGCCCGAGACGACGGGGAGGAAACAGATGAGTTCAAATATGTGGCAGCACATTAAAGGCCTTTCCAGGGCTTAGATCAAAGTCCATTATTCTTTCAGAGCAGTGGGCACCTTTACAAAAATGTGCTGCAGGAAGCCATGTGATAGTCAACACATACAGTAGATGTGGTAACAGTGATCTCCGTACCAACAACGGCTAAGAACATTCAAGGATAACTTTAAAAGGATTATGTTGATCCTGGAATCAATCACATTTGATCCAGGATTAGCTTTTTTTCTTTGGATTTATTAATTTAATGTATTGTTTAATTATTGTTTTACATGTTATTCATCACAAGACTTTTGTCAACATGGTTGTTTTTAAACAAGTCCAGTAAACAAGTTGTGAGGTGATTTCTGATGTCGTAATCACTGATTTTTTTTTTTTAACGCGCACACGTGCAACAAAGTTTACACCGGTTTCTGATAAAAGATATGTTCTTTTACACCGGTTTCTGATAAAAGATATGGGGAAAAACAAGCTGTGAAGTATTTTACCCCCTGTCTAAAGTAGTATTTGATCTAAACTGATAAAACCTACAAGACAAACGCACACGAACCCAATAATGACTATTTCCTATGTGATGACACGTAGCAGGACTTGCTGCTCTTTTTTTGTTGCAGTTGAACGTGGGATGGCGCGGCCAAACCCAGAGGAATCAGTTGCTAAGTCAACAGTCAAGAGAGACAGAGAAGGAGGGAGGCAGTTCCGGAGCCGAAGGAGAAAGATGAAGAAAAAACCTGCTACTCCTACTCTCACAGCTTCCAGTCTTAGAATCGGAGCTGATGCCGAATGACAAGGTTCAACAGATCCATATTATAGGATGTCGACACAGGTCTTTAAAGGTAGCCTCCAATTTTGTGCACACGTCTTCCTGCCCGGCACGAAAGACTATAAGTGACAGCACTTACACCTAAAAACAAAACCAAAATAGATAGCCTAAATATAATTAGCTGTCTGTGCCATAATTAGAGCTCTGCCTAGTCCTGTGCATTGAGATTTTTCTGGGCTGGTTTAATCCTAATCCTACAGGGAAGGTTTTCTGAGATG